GAGCCCAATCAGACATGCCATTTCCCCCAACACTCTTACTGTCCCCGATCTCCTTGTGCTCCTGTAGAAGCCCTTTCTCTAAGGCCACTGTCATCTGTATCTGTGCTCTTCTCACTTAAGAAACTCATCTCTGTCAATTGTAGTAATGGAGGACCTTCCTGCTTCTGTTTTAGTTTGAGCCTAAAATGTATCTGGATGCTCATGAAACTTTTCCTTCCTCTCCTGTTTCTAACTTTCCATTCCCTTTGCCTCATTTGTTTTTCTTCACGGCACTTGGAGAAAGTAGCCACAAAGAAATCATAAACTATATTCAGTAGACTTATTTTAAATAGTAATATTAGTGTTGATAGTTTGATACTATCATAGTAATGTCGTAAGATAAAGCAAATAAGTAATAGGTTTATGTCATTTAGAGCCAAGCTTTTCAGTGTGAGAAAAAATAAATACAGGTATAAAATCAACCTGTGATCTTCTATTTGAATTGGAAATAACAATGTAGACTTCTGATTTGTTTTTTTAATATATGTTACTTCTTTCCTAGCTGTGTCCACTGAAAAACTTCAAAGCAAAGACAACTTAATAACAATGAGCACTCCTGCATCTAAATTCTAGTTTAGGAATATCATTTTCCAATAAAAGGACCCAGAGCTACTTGGAGATATGGCTGTTCCATGTCTGTTGCAAGATAAATACAAGGTAAGCTTGAGACATCTCATCCCAGAAGACAGGGAAGCTTTCAAAGCGGAACAGGGTCCCGTCAAGAGGACACAGGAGTCAATCTGGAGAGCTCCCATTGACCTAAAATGGGACAATTTAAGCACCAAAAGGATTAATGACTGCAATGGGCTGAAACATACCAAATATATTTTGTAAAAACTGTGAATTTTCTTTTTTTTTCTTTTTTTGCAGCAGAGGGAGAGGGTTTATTAATCACAAGGCAGCCAAGTGAGGAAACAGGAGAATGAATCTCAAATCCACTTCCCCCCAAACAGGGACTCAGGGATATTTATGGGGTAGGGAGAAAATCGTGAATTTTTAACTATACCAAAAACAAAACACAAAACAAATGACCAAAGAAAAAACTTCCTGATTACCTTTAGAAATTGCTAGAGTCCCAATCCATTACTCTGAAAAAGTGGTAAATAAAGGAAAAGAATCAACCACTTACTCTGACTTTCTTGTATGAGGTAAATATTAGGCTACCTAAAAAGTAAACGATGAAGAATCCTTCTTTATAGAAGACTTGCAGCCGACAAATGCAGAGGCAGGATGATAAGATCAGAAAGTTACCATTTTGCAACTCCTAATGAAATAGTGAATCTGGGAATTTGTCAATGGATGTTAAAATCTTAGGTGAAATTTTATTGTGTACTAATTAATGGAGAGACAGGGCTGAAACCACAGAAATGCCCTGATCAGTCTTAACGTCACTAAATACTGTACAGCTAGCATTACACACCTCATGATACGACGCAACAGGGAGGAGAGAGCACCAGCTGGTACGTGTACTTGGCTGAAACAACGGAACTAAATCCAACCAACTCTAATACAACTACCAGTACAGGGAAAACTGGGCACAGAAAAAGTTGTGTGGCCCCAAGAGGAAACAATGAGCCAAATTCAGGACGCAGACTTTCTATAGAAAAAACTCTCTCCACAAATCAAAGGCATGAAGAAAAGAGGAAGGAACCGGTTACAGAATAAAGAAGCTGAAGAGACACAGCAGTCACGCGCACTGTGTGACCTAGACAGGACGGTGCTTCAAGCAAACCAGCCGTAAAAAGACATCTTGAGATAATCAAAGAAATGGAAACAGGTGGTTTTTAGATTTCATTAGGAAATGACCATTGGTTATGATAAATATAATACCGTTATGCAGTTAGATTAAAAAGTCGTTATTACTAACAGCACGCAAATATTGACAATGAAGGGACTTCATGTCTAGATTTCCTTTAAGATACTTCAACAAAGAAGCAGAGGATTTAGATGTAAAAAGTAGGGAAATTAGATGAAACAATTATCAAAAAGTATTGATAATCATTTCATTTGGGTGATCACTATATGGTGGTTTATATACTCTCGTCTTTAATTGTATACGTTTGAAATTTTCAATGATACTGATTTTGTTTAGGCAATAAAGTCAGTTGTTACACTGAGCAGAGCACAGATATGTTTTTGGATTACATTTCTAGCGAAGGTAAATATGACGAGTTGTGGAAATCCTTTAGGTGACTCACAATATGGCTCTAGGGAAGGGAGAGGCCCTGCAATGCAGGACAATGACACCTGCATTGAATGAAATTGTTTCATAAAATGTGAGAGATGAAAAAGTAGTGTTTCTAATTTAACTCAATATTTTAATTAATATGATGTTTTAATATGAATATGCAAAGGGAGATTTCTGAATATAACCTAATGGAGTAAAAGGAGACATTTCCCCCTTCTCAGAAATTACCTAAAAGCTACAAGAAGAACAAGAAACATAAAGGTAAACGCCACCCTCAACCACCACAAGGAAAATATCTTACAATCCCCAAATCAAAACAACAGAGGAATATTCTCACAGACACAGAGACATACTAACATGATTGTTAGGGGTTTGCCCTCAGCTGCAGATCTCAGAAGAACCCAGTCAAGAACATTCCCACAAACACATCAAGACCAACAACACGGTGACCACGATGGAGCACCAAGCAAAGCTGACGCTGGGTTTTCACTCCTGCCCGGGACTGTCGCCTCATGGAACTCCTACATGTCAGTGTAGAGGACGGGTCCTCAGGTGCAAATCCAAGAATAGCCTGTTTGCCACAGTCTGAGCTGGGTGTGTGGGCTGGAGGCAAGACCCCATTTGTCAGGAAGTCTCTAGAAATGGTGAAGGCAGGGTTGAAAAGGAATCAGAGTCAAGGCCTATGGCAGCATTTTGTTGGTGAAGCGAAGAAAGCTGAGACTGTGACTTTGAGCCACTGGGCAGTGATCTTTGTTGGTTTAGCTGAGTTAAAGAGTAAAAGAATTATTCACACAGTCCTGTGTCATAAAGACAATCCTGTTAGCCTGGATATGGCCTTGGCCCCTCCTCCTCGAATACTTTTTGCAAATGGCAGGTCCAGAAGTTGCTCACCTCATTCAAGGAAGGGCATGAGTCACAAATGAACCATTGCAAGACCCACAAAAGATTCTTTACATTAAAAAGTGCAGGGAATGGGAGAAACAAAAGACACAAAAAACAGAAAAGTCACAATAAAATAGTACTAAAGAATTCAATGAAGCAAACACTGTGATAAAATAAGGGAACAAAGGGGCAATGTAGTGAGACAATAAAAGATAAAAACATTAGCTTGTAGAGTGCAGAAAAGGAGCAGAAAAAATAAATAAAGCCACAATAGAAATGAAGGCCAAATTGAGAACAGCACAAAGAGGAAAAGACATTGCTGAATGTCCAGTAATGGATGGACAGGAACAGGTGGAGAACAGCAGCGGTTATGAAAGACCAATCAGAGTGCAGAAGAGAACCAAGAGAAACACAGATATGGGATAAAGCAGATACAACACAAGCATAATGGGAATAGAGAATATATGTGTGTGTGTGACATATATATATGCATATATGTAGTGAACTATACATATATATGCAAAAAATATTGTATACTCATATGCATATTTTATATATATGAAACACACACTCACAAGCCAAGGAAAAGCACCAAAATACATCCAAGTGATTAGCTAAAGGACACACCAGGAACTAGACACTGCTTGCCTCCGTATGCACAAATTGGGTGGCTGGGGTAGGGCCTTGAGCATGTATTTTGTTTCTTAAACATGCATTACTTATTTAATTTTAAAAGATATATATCAGTGTGTAAGTAAAAACATTCAATATATAAACAGGCATTCCTCTCCATCTCCATCTGGAAAGTTGAAAAATATCCCTGATTAAGCTTCTAGTTTAGCTCTCTACAGGATTACAAAGGACACAGCAGCCTGTTAGGACACACCATGAGTGTGCAACTAGAAAACTCCAAAGAATGAAAAGGAGCACAGGACAAATAACCTGGTTCTTTTAACATGCAAATTGCAAGGAAAAAAATGAAGCGATATTTAATGATTTAAATGATTTAAAGACAAATTATTTTAGAGATATATCACCAAAATACAACATGTTTGGAGCTTATTTGGATCCTGATTTGGAAAACCAAAATCTAAAAGATAAATAACACAAAGAGCAATATTTGAAGAGTAAAGGGACACCTGTTGATGTTAATAAATACAAATGTTGAAGATATAAAAATGGTATTTTGGTTGTATCGTTTAAGATTCTGTCATTTAGACATAAATATAGAATTATCTACTAGAGAAATGATAGGATCTCAAGATTTGCATTCAAATAATTTAGGATTGGTAGGGAAGTGGGCAGGAGTGTGGAAAATGTACATTTGGCCATGAGAGATTTTTAAAGCTGGGTGGTAAGTATAGAGGGGCCCATTATGTTATTATTTCACTTCTCTATCTGTTGAAATTTTACACAAAAGGAAAAAGAGTCATATTTAACTTTTATACTCAATGAAAGAGGATGAAAATATTTATGTTAAAGCATATGCAATCCATTACTTTGATCTTCAGTATCACTGCTGGATGGAATACCAGGTGAGAGGAAAGCACTTCATACCTTCTAAGACACAAATGTAACCTGTAGCACCTCTGTTTGAGATGTTGACTAACTCCTAGCTCCGTGAAATGACAATAGTCTTATTGTACTGTGATCAAGTCAAAGCTGGAAGGCAGGAGAAATTTTCCCTGACTAAAGGAAACCAAAAATGCAATCTTCATATTTCATAACTTTCCTAACAATCCAGATGTGATCTCACGGTTTGTAAAGCCCAGCCCTTCCCAATCTGCAAGCTCACCTTGCAGGACTGAGCCCAGCCCATTCTCACCATATATAAAGGGCTGCAGGGAAGCTCATCTCACAGATCTGCTCCTCTCAGCTCTACCCACCAGCCTCTCGCACTTTCTAAAACCTTCTCATCTTCAGGAACCATGTCTAGCAAATCCATCAGGAAGACTCAAACCATCAGCCATCGTGGCTTCAGTGCCGGCTCAGCCAGAGTCCCTGGGGCCTCCCGCTCTGGCTTCAGCAGCATCTCTGTGTCCCGCTCCAGGGGCAGTGGTGGCCTCGGTGGAGTGTGTGGAGGTGGCTTCGGCAGCCGCAGCCTCTACGGCGTGGGGGGCTCCAAGAGGATCTCTATCGGAGGGGGCAGCTATGGCATTGGTGGCGGATATGGTGGCAGAATTGGAGGTGGCTTTGGCTTTGGCGGTGGAGCCGGGAGTGGATTTGGTTTTGGCGGTGCAGCTGGTAGTGGCTTTGGGCTCGGTGGTGGAGCTGGCTTTGTTGGTGGCTATGGGGGCTCTGGCTTCCCTGTGTGCCCCCCTGGAGGCATCCAAGAGGTCACTGTCAACCAGACTCTCCTCACTCCTCTGAACCTGGAAAT